CAGTAAACCATTTACCAGTGGTTTTGGCACTGTGAGCAGGTGCCAGGTCGTGCTGAAAAATGAAATCTTCATCTCCATAAAGCTTTTCAGCAGATGGAAGCATGAAGTGCTCCAAAATCTCCTGATAGCTAGCTGCATTGACCCTGCCCTTGATAAAACACAGTGGACCAACACCAGCAGCTGACTGTGGGTGCTTCACACTGGACTTCTGGCATTTTGGCATTTCCTTCTCCCCAGTCTTCCTCCAGACTCTGGCACCTTGATTTCCGAATGACATGCAAAATTTGCTTTCATCCGAAAAAAGTACTTTGGACCACGGAGCACCAGTCCAGTGCTGCTTCTCTGTAGCCCAGGTCAGGCGCTTCTGCCGCTGTTTCTGGTTCAAAAGTGGCTTGACCTGGGGAATGCAGCACCTGTAGCCCATTTCCTGCACACGCCTGTGCACTGTGGCTCTGGAATCGGCCCTTCTCCACAATCCTCCTCAGGGTCCGGTCACCTCTTCTCGTTGTGCAGCGTTTTCTGCCACACTTTTCCCTTCCCACAGATTTCCCACTGAGTTGCCTTGATACAGCACTCTGGGAACAGCCTATTCGTTCAGCAATTTCTTTCTGTGTCTTACCCTCTTGCTTGAGGGTGTCAATGATGGCCTTCTGGACAGCAGTCAGGTCAGCAGTCTTACCCATGATTGCGGTTTTGAGTAATGAACAAGGCTGCGAGGTTTTAAAAGCCTTAGGAATCTTTTGCAGGTGTTTAGAGTCACGTCGTTGATTCAGATGGTTAGGTTAATAGCTTGTTTAGAGAACCTTTTCATGATATGCTAATTTTTTGGGACAGGCATTTGGGGTTTTCATGAGCTGTATGCCATAATGATCAGTATTAAAACAATTAAAGACCTGAAATATTTCAGTTGGTGTGCAATGAATCTGAAATATATGAAAGTTTCATTTTTATCATTACATTATGGAAAATAATTACCTTTATCACAATATGCAAATTTTTTGAGAAGGACCTGTATGTATAAGGATCTAAGATATAAACTAAACTAGATAAATAGATATATCTATTTATTTATAAGTATCTATTTATCCATATCATATAGATAAATAGATACTTATAAAAATAAGTATCAAAAAGAAGCCATGAAACCTATCCTACCCAATTAGTGCAATTACTGTATAGTCAATGGGGACTAGTGGCTATCTCAGGCTGCTATTATGTAATAAGTATAAATTAGATTTTTTTTTTAAGCCATAATAACTGTTAAGATTTTTTATTTGTTTGGGAGTTAATGCGATTCAAAATTATCAGGGTTTTCATAAATTTGAGTTTAAAATAAGCACTGATTTGATCATAATAAAAGCATAAAAAGCATAAAACAACCAAGGGGGTGAATACTTTTTGTAGGCACTGTATATTACCATAATGACACAATTGCGGAACCACCGGTATGAACTATCCTATCCCATTACTTGTGTATTATATAATTTTATTAAAGTAGCTTAAGCACAGTCCCCATTTTACGAGGTTATATTTATCTGTGTAAAACATATTCACAATTTTTTTTTTACTACAAGTTGAAAGAAGCAGGTAAAGATAATGGATGGATGGATAGACGGATATGAGGCTTTTTCATGTCTTCCGCTCAGATGCAGTTCTGACAAAGCCAGCAGATGTTTCTCTTCTGGCTGTGTGAAGTGTGTCATTCATGAAGTAACTGTGTCAAAGTGGCTCGTTTTTTCTTGAGGATTTAGTTTCATCATCACTGGTTCAATGGACCGCAGGGAAACCATGCTCCATGCTGATGAACCCCACTCTGTTGGGCTGAGCTTGCCATCTTGGAGGGCAGAGTTCAAGTCCAGATTGTGGAGATTGCCTCTTGTTGCTCAAAGGTGCTGACAATCAGGTACTGAATAAGTACATGATGCCAACACATAGGGTCCCAGAAGCTCAAAGCAAGAGGCAGTAGCAGAATAAGATGACTGACATTGGCAGAGATTTGGCTAAAGGTAGCAAGGAAGAAAGCCCTGCTACAAGAGCTGCTGGGCTTCAAGAACCTGAGGAATGGGTTTGGGTGGACAAGAAGTGAATGGACTTCGTATGGGTTAGATGACGAGAAATTATCTCAGAATAATCCAGTCATCACTGTTCCTCCATGAGTATATCAATAGATAGAAGCGGACATGAGGATCCTTGAAATTAAAACAGGCTGGAAACTAAATAAAGTAAAACATCTGGTATACAGTACTTCAGAAAATATTATTACAGTTACCTTAAAAGATGTCTCCAAGAACACAAAGGGATGTGTATAGGTGTATACACACCAGAGTTTTAAAAGTGTATGTCAAGATAAAGATTGCATTGTGAATATTTTACTAAAACTTCCTTAAAAACAAATAGCCTCTTTTCACACGTTTTAGCTTTAAAATGAAGCATTTGTTTTTATTATTATGGACAACCGCTTTAATAATAAATGGCTCCACAGTTTGGTCAAACAGAGGTATGACACGTAATCTGATTAAGTGCAACAAGCTGCATTCTTAACTTTGGTGATTTTGTGTGTTTTATCAATAAAAACAATCTACATGACAAAAATAAATAAATAACAGCTCTTGGCACTTTAGGTGCATTATTTAGAAACTTCAATAGCTGTTCCCTGAAATATTCATAAAACTGTCTTGCTCTAATTAGTTGTTTCATTTTCTTTATCACTTTTGCCTTCTTCAAAGTTTTCATGGCTCCTTTTTTTTTTTTTTTTTTATACAAAGACTGACTGTGAAACTTTCAAAAGATGTGCAGTTTTTGTCAGTGTTTCTTTTTACCATGATGTCCTCGTTGTTATATAACGAAAACATCCTGTTTAAAGGTTTTGGGGCCTTTAAAAAGTTGTCTTTTGATGTTTGTAATTACTTTTTTGCTGATACTCAAACAGATATGTCACTTTATTTTTTCCTTTCGGCTGCTCAAGGGTTGCCACAGCGAGTGACATCACATAAAGACTTGGCAGTTGATTTTACGCTGGATGCCCTTCTTGACACTGCCAGAGACCACCGAGCCACCGCAGCCCACATTGGTGGAGCAGGGGGCTGCCATCTAGGGTGTGGTTAAGGGCCTTGTTCAAGGGCCCAGAGTGGAGCAAATGAGTTTGGAAGCAGATGTGGATGCTTTAACTTTCCCACCCACTTTTTGATGTTACAGTCAGGGGGATTTGAACTGGTGACTTTTCCAATCACAGGCTCCCCTTCCTTAACCTCTGCACCACCGCTCCCCCCTGAACAGCTAGATCCCATAAACAGAGAAAATTTAGCACAGCCAGGTGAGTTTTATGTGTTTAATTCTGCTAAAGAACTTGTTTAATTTGATCCAAAGAGCAAGCACGAGCCACAAATATGTTCAGTATACATTTTATGCACGTATTGCTAATTTTATGTGAAATTTATTAGTCTTGTTCAGTGAACTCTTTTTATTTTTACAAAATGATTTCAATTTTATTGTCTAAAATAAATAGTGTTAAATTATTTATATATATTTGAATGTTTCTGTTCAGTGTCCTGAGACGACTTCTGTTGTGACTTGGCGCTACATAAATAAACTGAATTGAATTAAAATCGTTCAAATTCTGCGCCAATAAAATAAGATTTGAAGGACAGCTTTGTTCTTTTAATGCATTCTCTTAGCGTAGCCTGCAGCATAGAAACTGTGAACATAACAGTTTAACACAAATTAATCAGTTTTCATCCAATATATGACAGCACCTGCCAGTAGGATCAAGAAAATGCAAAATACTGTATCTACAGGTAAATCTTTGATGAATACTTTTTTTTTCCTAGAAAAGCAACTCTTGTAACAATATGACCCAAAGAATAAGCAGTTTGAAATGATTTAGCACTTTTAAGAGCATTATTCAAGAAAATAGTTAGAAATGTTATTATGGTTTAGTTTAAAAGTCAAGTTATATTGAAACAGACGCAGAAGTCCGACCAAATCACATAAAAAAAAAAAAGTTAATGTCAACAGATTTGTCCTCTAAAAGAGTAATAAAAATCTTAATTTATAGCTTGTCTCTCGTGTAAGCGTCATGTGATTGTTTAAATAGTTAGTGTACGAAAAAGTCTGAACTAATTCTGCTGTTATCACATGAATGCAGATAAAGATTTGGGTCACAAAGACCCTGCAAACAAAAATATTGATGTCATGCTGTTATTCAAATCACTGTCACTGCAGCTTTGTCCTGTAAATGTATACCAGAGTATGTTAGAAAAAAGATATTCAGCTTATCTAACAAGTAAATAATAAAAAAATGGAAAATGTGGCTGCATTAAGGCGGAAATCTTAACAGTTTGTTTTTCAGTCGCAGAGGTGAACGACTTTAAAAGATCCAGCCTTACAATTAATAAAAGGAACACATAAAATTAGAGATTGGGCTCAGTAATATGCTGGATTGTCACTTCTTTGGTTGAACTATATTTGTTATGGGGATTACTATAAATGGTAAAGATTATTTAATACATTTACATTACTGACAAAAAGAACACCCTGCCTTCCAAACCACCCCCGTTTAAAAAAAAATAAAAAATCTCAGATGTTGCTGCTTCCTGAGTACAACTGAAACTCTGAAGTGTCATGTCTTCTATTTTTATCCTCACTGACTTTCAGGAGCCATCAGCTGAACTTTTGTAGAGTTGGAGCCTTGCAAAAATCCCAAGAGCCCTCAGCTCTTGATAAACCCTCAGAACCCACAAGATCATCAGGTGCCACAAAGTCCTCAGTACCCTTGATTTGACTAACTGTCAAAGCATTAAAAGCTCAAAATACTTAAAACCTTTTTTGGGGCACAAATTAACACGAGCTTCCATATATTTTGCTGACAGACACACAGGATTGACTTTAATAGTTAATACCAAAGTTGTAAACAAAGATCTGTTTGTTGATGATTCTTAGCCCTTACACTACCAAATTTTAGGTCGCTATCTGTAAAATTGACTAACACAGCCAATTTTGTGTATTTGCAGACATTTTCTAGACTTGCTTAGCTGTGGTGGCCATCTTGAATCCAGTTACCTCCGAATGTTAATCAGTTGTAGATGTCCATCCAGTGATAACTGTCAGCGAGTTTCATTTTATCCATCCAGGCTTCTCCTCTGTTACCCACCCACACCCCCATTGAAACAGTGTCAACTCGCCCACAGCTCAAATTAAATAAAGCAAAAATCAGCTCTAAATATAAACCATAAAAATCTTATTAAAATAAACACAGTTACTTTACCAGAGCAAAATCATAAAATCATTAAATGTGGATTATTGAACAGCAGATCCCTTTCCTCTAAATCCCTGTTAAACAGCATGGGATGAATTGTCATTCTTATGCTGATGACACACAGTTATATTTGTCCATTAAACCCAATGAATCCAATCAGCTACTTAGACTACAAGCATGTCTTAAACACATAAAACCTAAATGACCCTTAATTTTCTCCTGCTGAACACAGACAGGACTGAGGTATTGGTTTTTGGACCTGAGCACCTTAGGAATTAATTTTTCAGTTTTTTGCCCTCCTAAGCATTAATCTGGCCTTAAGCTCTAATGTTAAAAATTTTGGTGTTATTTTTGATCAGGACATATCTTTTATCCCCCACATTCAAAACATTACTAGAACTGCCTTCTTCCACCTGCGTAATATCGCAAAAATGAGAAACATCTTAACTAAAAATGATGCAGAAAAACTGGTCCATGCATTTGTCACGTCTAGACTGGACTATTGCAATGGTTTATTATCTGGGTGTCCAAAGAGTCTTCAGTTAATCTAAAATGCTGCTGCCAGAGTCTTAACCGGAGTTAGTAGGAGAGATCATTTCTCTCCAGTTTTAGCTTCTCTCCGTTGGCTCCCTGTCAAATCCAGAATATAATTCAAAATCTTACTTCTAGCCTACAAAGCTCTCAACAACCTAGCTCCATCTTATATTATGGATCTTATTGTTCCATATTTTCCTAACAGAGCACTTTGTTCTCAGGCTGCAGGTTTACATGTGGTTTATAGAGTTTACAAAAACAGAATGGGAGGCAGATCTTTTAGTTATCAGGCTCCTCTCTTGTGGCACCAACTTCCAATCTCTGTCCATGAGGATGACACATTATCCAGTTTTAAAACTAGGCTTAAGACTTTCCTTTTTGCTAAATCCTGTAGTTAGGGTCGGCTTGGGTTTCCTGAACTGTCCCTTAGTTATGCTGCTATAGGCTTAGACTGCTGGAGGACAAACTGACCACACTTTTTCACTCTGCTACTGTCTTTACTTACTCTGCTCAACCTGTTTTGTATTTGTAATTATTTTTTCTATCCTTAAAATGTGTTGTTGTTTTTTTGTCTTTCAGATACACCTGGAATAGCCTATATCTGGACCTACCATTCTGTGTCCATTTGTCTCTCCTTACTGTCCTCTCAAACCAGCCGGTCAAAGCAGATGGCCGCTTGTCCTGAGCCTGGTTCTGCTGGAGGTTTCTTCCTTTTAAAAGTGAGTTTTTCCTTTCCACTGTGGCCATTATACTTGCTCAGGATGGGAGACTGCAACAAAGCCAAGATTCAACTTGTCTGCTGGATTCCTTAGATAGAGAACTTTACTAACTGGCTTTTCTATGTATGTGAATGTTCCTGTAAAGTGCCCTGAGACAACTTTGTTGTGATTTGGTGCTATATAAATAAAGTGAATCCAGGCACAAATAATAAACAATTCTAGTTTTGGCTGAAATGTTTCTTATGGTCAATTTTTAATGGAAGTTCAAAAAAAGGATCGATGTGTTTGTGATGCGCACTGGTAGAACAAACATTTGGTAACAAATTCATTTCAGGGTGCAAAGATACTGAATAGGTTATTGTGACCGGAATTGTTATGTCACGCTGTCATCCAGCACACTGACCTGATCTGATAAGACAACGCTCAACCATTTGTATACTGACAGAGTTAAGAGGAAAATAAATAAAAGGACATTACAAAATAAATGGCTGGTGATTTTTTTTCCCTTTCGTTTTTTTTTTTTCCTCAGAGGTGGGGTTTGAGAGGCATCAGGCCAAGGAAGATATAAATGCAGCAGCACACACAGGTCAAACACTTGGGGACCGACCAGGCCGGACAGCTGTGTGATCATGGCGAATCACTTGCAGGTCACCTGTTTTACAGCACTGGCTCTGTTATGCTGCTTAACTGGAAGAGAAGCTGAGGCCCAGAACATGCCCCCTCAAAAGCCTTACCACCCTCAGAAACCTCAGTATCCTCCACAGTATCCCCCTCAGTATCCCCCTCAGTATCCCCCTCAGTATCCCCCACAGTATCCCCCTCAGTATCCCCC